AATAATCTATGATGAAACTAAGCTAAAAATGCCCAAGATAGGCCAAAATATAAGTCTTACGAGCTCAGCTACTATCCGCCCAAAAACAGAACTAAAAAAAACTCTGCTAAAAAGTAAAATGTTCTATTTATACTACACAGGAAAAACTGGACAAAATACCCCTGAGGGTCTGGCGCGGACCGCGTACAAATGTCACGTGGCCGCGGAGGGCAATAAGTCTTCAAGTCTTGCTTCTGGAACTGAGGGATGCGGACCGCACAGATATGTCACGCGGCCACATAGGCTAAGACGCGCGGACCGCGTAGAAATGGGATGCGGACACGTAGTAGATTTTGCCCAAAACTCAACTCTCTGAACTTTTACCCACGCAGACCGCACTGATTTGATGTGCGGCCGCGTGGGCTTTTGCCTTGATTTTCTGGGTCTCTGAACTCTCCTCAGTTCGGACCGCGTGGAATTGATTGCGGACCGCGTGGCTTGACTTCAAACTTGCAAGGTCTCTGAACTCTCCTGCGCGGCTGCACACCAAATCAGTGCGGTCCGCACAGGTCATCTTGTTCTGTTCCAGCCTCTGAACTCTCCTGCACGGCCGCGCACCAAATCAGTGCGGTCCGCGCAGGTCATCTTGTTCCCCACTTCAGTTGTCTTTTGACACTTGGCAAATTTCACTCCTTTTTGAGCCGATCTTTGATATCTATCATCTTGTCGCTCAAACCTGCAATCAAGTGTAATTTGTAAGCATTTTGGGACTAATCTATGGCAATTAATGCACAAAGCTCAGGTAAGAATGGGTATAAAACATGTAGAAATCACAGTTATCACCTACCATCCACAATATGATGGTCAAGCAGAAGTGGTAAACATATGCCTTGAAACTTATCTCAGATGCTTTTGTGCAGAAGATCCTACTGGCTGGTTATCCGGTCTTCCTATGGTTGAATATTGGTACAATACCAACTATCATTCGGCCATCCATACCGCTCCCTTTGAAGCTTTATATGGCAAGCCTCCTCCTATACATCTGTCATACATTCCTGGTGAATCAACTGCAAGTGAAGTGGATAGCATTCTCACTACTAGGGAACTCAAGCTTCAACTTCTCAAACATCATTTGTCTAGAGCCTAGCTAAGGATGAAGAATCAGCCTGACAAACACAGGAGTAACAGATCATTTCAAGTTGGAGATTGGTGTATTTGGAAGTTCAACCCTACAAGCAGACAACCATATCTTCTCAGCCATACTACAAACTAGCTGCTAAGTTCTATGGACCATTTCAAGCGACCAAAAGGATAGGTTCTGTAGCCTATATACTTTTGCTTCCAACATCAGTCAAAATTCATCCAAATGTCCATGTGTCTTTGCTGAAAAAGTGTCATGCTATTCCTGATCATATCTTTTATCCTCCCGTAGTCGACATTGTTGACCCTCAATGCCCTGAACTAGAGTTGATTTTACAAAGAAAGATGGTGAAAAGGGGGAATAAGGTTGTGGCATAGATGCTCGTTAAATGGCAGGGCATACCAGCTGATGATGCTACATAGGAATACTACAATGAACTTAAAATTCAATTTCCTCATTTTGATCCTTGAGGACAAGGATCTCTTTTTTTCGGGGGGGTCC